GGATGGCTCAGCTGGTGAGAGCACGTGTTCCTAACAACAAGACTGCCTGTTCGATGGTGGGCTAGACCCTCCCGCAACTAAAGACTGAACTTGGCACCTTGAGCTGAGCTGCCACTCGAATGGCTCAGGGGATAGAGAGCGTGCTCTTAACAACAAGGCTACTGGTTCGACTCCCACATGGGATGGTGGCTACACCCACCCGCAACTAAGATTGTAACATAGCACCTTGAGCTTAGAGGCCACAAGCTGCTGATGGGCAGCCAGATGGCGACTGGCGCCCTCCATAACTAAGATTGAAGAACAACAACTTGGCTGGTCCCCCTCCCCAGTTCTCCAACATTGTTCCCCTCCCCCAACTCCCCAATTAAAAGTAAAAAAAACATTCTGATGTTAATTTAAAATGACTGCGTATCTAAGACACTGCTTTTAGATTGGGGAATAGTCAGAACTCACCCTTCTGTTTCACCACCTCATTTTTCTTAGTTCAGCCTCCCCTTCCTCCCTCCCCCGGGAAGAGTCTATAGATGACCCACCAATGCACTTCTACTGTTGCAGGAAAAGCAGCTAAACATCACCTAAAGCTTGGTATCACTGGTGCTACTTCCCCTACATCAAAATTACACAGGCCCAAATTCCAAACTGGAAAGTAAAGGAATAATTAAAAGTAGTCAAGTGTGTGATCCACTCCTGCTCTTGTCTCCTGAGGTCATCTGAACTCCCAGCAGTTAGTTGGGCATCCTTCCTCATCGCTCTACAGAATCTTCTCAAATTTTGCTTTATTCGTCCTTGTTCTCCTTGCCCTTTCAGTTGCATCTGACACTGGTGATTTATTCCTTCCCTCCGTAAAATGCTTTGTTTGGCTTTTCTGATATTCTAAAATCCTGGCATTTGTAACACTCTGACTACTCAGTGCTAGGGGCTGCGAGTTATCTCCAAATAGCTATCCTCTCCTTCCTCAGGTACATGGCTACCCCAAATAAAGACTTTACTTTCAAGCCTCCCTTGAAACTAAGAAACAGCAGGCCAAAGTGATATAAGTAAAAGTGGTGTGCAGTTACTGAAAAACATCCTTAAAGGACGTTGGTGCATTCTCTATTCTCTGTTTTCCTCCTTCTTAGGTGTTGGAATGTAAATGCAATAGTTGGAACTGAAGCAGACATAGGTTATGAATCAAGACGATATAAGAAACTTAGTTTCCTTACACTATAGGGCACCATATAAGTCCTGGTCCACGTTGGATTTTTACATGAGAAATAAACTTGTATCTTGTTTAAGTCACTGTTATTTTGAATTTTCTGTTACTTGCAGTCAACCCTGGTGCTCTCTAATGCATTTCTTCCCTGCTACTGTATACTCTTAGTCACTTCAACTAGACCGTATGCTCTTTGGGAATATAGGTTCTGATACTGTACTTCACAGTACCAAAATACTTAATGACTGACCTAGATTTCAATGAACTTATTACATAATTCTGGAGGGGTCGCCCTGTTTAATATTAGTTGGGGATGGAATAAAATGGTAAATGAAGGCTCTCAATAAAAGAGGTCAAAGATGATTTGGAAGTTCTGAGTAACTGCTTTTCTTCGTTTTTAGTTGTAGTGCTGGAAATTAATTCAGAGAAGGGGAAAAGATTAAAAAAGACTAAGATATTATTCAGACACACAAAATAATATCTATTAGGCTGTGTTACTGAATAGAGATTTTAAAAAAATCTTAAATGAATGGATAAGATTTCTAACTACTTTGTAAATCAAATAGGTGTAACTTATTAGAAGGAACAACTTTTTCTCCAGTCGTCTGGTTTCTCTGTAAACACACTCCTGGCCTCCTGGTGTTTCTCACTGTACACTCTCTCCGGGACATGGAGGACTTATCTGATTGATAAAACTTGGAAGAATGACTGGGACTGTCTGGCTCAGCAAATCTCTTCTCTTCTTAGAGGCAAGTTTACCCAAGGAGTACATACAGCACTCTGTCAGTGAAGACGGACAATGTGCAGGGAGGCCAAGGATTGCCCCATTCAGTTCTATTTACCTTTGACTTCTTCATAAAGCCTTTGCTCACAATTATCTTAAACAAACTTTAGCTTAGTTTCGTTCCATCCCACCCATTATTAATTTTGAATTAGAAGACAATAGAAAAGTTTTGCATCTTCGTTAGTTTTCAGGTATAGGAACAACATTTGTTAACAACAACAGCAACAGTAAACCCTTCTATTTCCTTTGTCCTTATGCCAGAAGCTAGGTTGTCTCTAATGTGTAAAACATATCTCACCATTAAAACATCAACAGTTCCCTGGCGACCTGACAGGATTCATGACCCTCCCTTCACACTTAAACTTTACACAAGGTAGTAACAAAGGCAAGGGCACCCCCTTGATATTGGGGTATTCATATTGCCTACGAAACTCTATTGTATAAGACACATTATAATAATACCCAAGCATTTCTGCAAAGAAAGTAGGTGTTTATATTTCAAGAGGTAGGTTTGCTTGTACTTGCTGTTTAAATAATAAAAAAATGTTCTACCTTGATCAAGAAATAGACGATCCACTAAACCAAGTATTTCACACATTCTAATTCATTTAAACTCTGTGTAGTGAGAAACTGTGATTGGGGAAGTTAAAAATTAATTGCCCAGGATCACTCAATAAGTGGCAGTTCCAACATTTGAACTCAGGCCTGGCTCCAAAGTCCATAGACATTCTTGCATATTACAAAGCCTACCAGAAGCTTTGTTTCCTACTAGATCTCATGCTACAGTACCTATGACTTAGAGCTGTTCTGTCACCTAAGGCAGCAACCCAGCCTTGTGCCAAAGTTTCAGATCCATTTTTTACCTCAGTGATCTTTAAAACTACCTGGCTGTCTCTGGTAGATGGCAAAAATATTTTATAGCTCTTCTCTTCCTGTTAAGAGGCGGAATCTGTTTCCCTACTCTTTGACTCTGAGCGGATCACATGACTTGCTTTGACTAGAATGCAGCAGAAGTAACAGTGTGAAGATTCTCAGCTCGTGCCTGAAAAAGCCTTGCAGCTCTCCCTTTTGCCCCCTTGAAACCTTTTGCCACCAAATGAACAAACTTGGAGTGAGCCTGACGGTGGATGACAGACCATGTGAAGCTAAGATGTGTCAGCCCTGCTGAGGGCTCAAAAGCACAGAGTCGTCCTGGCTGCTGACCACAAATGCACAAATCATCCCATCCAAGACCAGAACTGCCCAGCTGAGTTCATCTCAAATTGTTGGCCCAGAGTTGTGAGCATAATGGTTGTTGGTTTTAGCCACTAAGTTTTGCGATAGTTTGTCATATAGGAATAGCTAACTGACACAGCCTCTCCGACCTAGATTCAGAGATTCCTTGTAGATAAAAATAAATAGGGATAGGCCCAAAGGCCACTGAAAAGTTTACTGACCATTGATTATTCATTCATTCTGCTACCTTCAAGTCCAGTCTGATTCAGTATTAAAGTTCCCTAAACCCAAATAAGTTGGGTCTTCAAGCAGTTAACAGTGACCTGGTCCAAACCTCCCCTCTCATAGGCTCCTCAAGGCAAGAACAATTCTTTGTGTCTCCTCATAGTACCTCACGCTAAGCCTTCCTTATATCAGATATTCTCAAAAAATTTTCTGAATCAATAGAAGACATTTTAACCCTTAGGGAAACTAGAACTTTCCAACAGCTTTGAGGCACAGTGTAATGATAGCATAGTAATAACATATGGCGATTTTGCCAAGTGATGGAAGAAAGCCATGCATACTGGCAACTCCAGGGCTTATGAAATTCAGTCCTTGCATTTCAACTACAGTGTTTTTAAAAGCACTTTCTAAGTCTTGGGAGATAAGCTCAGGCCAAGTATAGAATGAGCAATTTACACATGTACAAAGGGCTTTATGATCTGTACTTTTGGAGCATGACTATGTTTTAGTAAAAAATTAGAATCAAGCCTCACATCTAACTGGATGATGCTTAAACAAGGAATGATGATGAATTTCTGCTATTGCTTAGTGCAAATTTCATTGGAACCATAACTCTGGAACACCATATCAAACCTTCTGAGAAATTGTCACTTCATGGACAAAATAGGCTTTATCTGTAAAAGATAAGAGTTAACTTGTCAAAATTGAATTAGCTCTTACAGTATTTCCTCTTTTATATAAAAATGTTTTTATTAATATAAACTCAACCTCAGTTTTTCACAGAAACAAATGTTTCAAGTATAACAAAAGATACAACTCTACTTTAAATGCAACTCAGAGTGTTCCATTACAGTAATCATGATCAGCTAAAAAAGATTGAGACACAAAAAAGCAGCACCTTTCACAATGACTCTGCTTTAAGATTTTGGAGCTGAACCTGAAACTTAAAGTTGCTAAGTCACTTGCAAAAAATTAAGTTGTATCTGGTGACTGAGTTGAATGATGGTTACTCAGAAATGGTATAAATGGTACAGCTAGTGTCCATCAAGTAGACACTAGCCATGAGCACCTGCAAACTCAGGCGGAGAGAAATGGCACTGACCACCTTTGGAAAAATAAGGATACCTACAAGCTGATTCTGAATATTTTTTACACTTGGGATTTGAGCCAATGAGACAAGATAAGTAGATCCAGGGCTCAAATATGGACTGTGACATGAGGGCCACTGTGTATTCTCTCAGGGGTTTTAACTGCTATTCTCATAGCACGCCCTTCAGTGGTGTCTATTGCTTCTCAGATCTGGGTCCTATGTCAATTCCTAGGTGATTCTAATTTCATTCATTCATTCAACCAAAATCTGGTAAGTACATACTATGCAAAGTGCTACTTCCCATGAAATGATTCAGTTATGCATCTTCCTGAAAAAAAAAAAGGGAAAGGAAGAAGCAGAGAAAAATAATAATTCAGGGGATTGCTTAATCTATGCAAGAAATAATAAGTATTGCTGAAACAAACATGTAGATATATTTTTGCGTCATTTAGAACAAATTAAGTGAAAAGTGGAAAAAAAATTTTCAATAGTACCTGTATCCCAATTCTTCACTAAGATGGATCATATGAAGGATATATGATTCCTTGCTTGTTCCAGTGAGGCCTGGCAACAATAAGATAGTAGGTCTGGTGCTGGCATCCATATAATTCTTACTGTTATCATTATCAAACCAGTCCAGTGAAATCTGTCCTCCATCTGCAGTTTTAATAAGTTCACTAAAATAAATAATTCAAAAGCATACTCATTATGTGTTCAAAAGCATACTCATTAAGTGTTTCAATTTGTGTCTTAATATTAGTCTTAATTCTATAAATATATATTATTTGGTCATCTCAAAATAACTTTTTTTCAGCACTCACTAACATACACGCATATATCACTTTCATTACAAAAATGTTATGAAATTAGTACCATAAAGTACTTCCAGCAACACCAATAAAAGGTAGTATATAAAAATAAACTTCAAAGTACATTAAGTATTTATCTTAATCATTTCCTCATTTTTCTAAAATACCCAGCATTTAACCCCTATTTGATTGAGGTCACCCAAATAATTCAACAGGGAATTATGAATAAGTAAAACACTGATCTGATCACCGCTCTGGCTCTTTGACTCAATAACAGAGTCTCTCCACAGAGTATATTACAAAATTTGCTTCTTAAATATTTTAAAGTACTTCTCACATAGTATCTATGAACATATAGAATTTTCCCAAACAAACAGTACAAGTCAGGCAACAAAAGGAACTCCAGAAGGAATAGATGACTCAGGGAAATTAATAATAGGCACCATTTAAATCTCCTGGTTACTAATATATTCTGGGCCATATCTTTAACACCTCAAGGACATTATCATCAAGAAGCCATTTGTTTATCAATACGAAGTACTTTAACAGAGTGGTCCATTGCACAAAATCCAAATTAATTAACCCTTCTCAACCTCATCCCTAGCATCAATTAATTGGTACATATTATCAAAGGATCTAGGACCTCAGGGACAGATGGAAGAAAAATTGGAAAAGAGTAACCCCTGAACACATCTCTCCTAGAAATAAACCATTTACATCAATGCACCGGGAAAAAAAAATGGTGAAAGGCAATACCTGAATGTTTTCCTGCAGTTGGGTGTGGGGTGGGGGCATACCTTCCATTTTCATTCCCCCTTTGATTTCTATATACTCAGTAAACCAGAGGTTCTATTAACCAAGTACTGAGAGTATACAAAAAACTGACTTTGAATAAATGACTGATAATGGAATTTTACTTACTTCCTATACTGCACCGGGGGCTTGGAAGTGATGAAAGGTCTCAGCAGTGTCTGTCCTCGACTCTCCCAGCACCAGACCGTTGGGTAGTACGTTTCTGTCACCACCGGACAGTGGTCCTGAAGGAAGCGGCTGAAACTCTCACCCCCGGTGACCAACTGGGGCTTCTGTGGGGAAAACCAGTATCAGTGAAGGATCCAGAGCAAAGTTTCTGCCAACCGTAAACCAAAAATGAGCACAGACTCGTCCCTAGCGCACACGATCCCTCGGATTACATCTTCTGGAAGCCTAACTCAAATAATTCACAGTCACAACAGACTTAAGAGTGGTTTATCCAACCCCTCGAAGGAAAGGCGAGAGTTGAAATAAGGGAGTCAGTCTTAAAAATGCTACAGCATTGCCTAGCAGCTTTGCTGGAGAAGCGAATGGTGACAGGGCAGCGCCGCGCGCGCCGAGGTCAGAGGATCCGGGTTGCGGTCTGTGGAACGGGGCCGGACCCACAGGCAGGAGGCAGGGGCTGGGCGGCTTCCTCGCGCGCCCTCCAAGGGCGTCCATCAGATGCTCGGGAAAGGGCAACAACTCCGGAGCAGCATGCACGCCCCCAGGGCGACCCCAGCCACCCGCCCCTGCCAAGAGCAAGCCTCCGGCTACGCCCGATGCTGTGGCTCCAGGCAAAGCCGCGCGGGTAGTCCCGCGCCTCGGCGCCCGCGCCACCCCCCGGCTCACCTTGGCAATGCTGCTCAGGTAGTAGCAGGCATAAGCGACGCTGAAGCCCAGGATCAGGGATATGCCCACGCCGGAACCGAAGAACCCAACCCGGACTTGGTGCTCCAGGTAAAGGGAGAGCTCCCGGGAGAGCACTCGCAGGTCCATGGCTAAGCGCTGCATGGCCCGGGGAGCGCGGCGCGCTGGTCCTGCGGCGGGAGGCCAGCCAGCCCGCGAGCGGGCGCAAGTGGGCGCGGCGGCGGCGCCGACCCTGGAGCCGGGCGTCTCCTGCCCGGCAGAGCACCGCCTCCGCCAACTAACGCCGCTGAGCTTCCCAGGGAGGCGTAGCTCTGCCCTCCGGACGCCGCCGGCTCCGCCCCGGCTTCCCCCGAGCCGCCCCCACCGCCAGCCACTCAGCAATCTTCCAGAGGCGCGGTTCCCAGCCCCACCACCCGGAGGGCTAACAAGGGTCTTCCGGCCAGGTCTCAGTCAGCCTGGGCGAACCCCAAGAATGAGGAGAGCTGGCGCAGACTTTGGAGAAGGAAATGGGCTTGGCAGCGCACCTGCTCCAGTGACCTTGAATGATTTCGCAAGGCGGTGGGTCTCGGTTAACCCTTCCTGTAAACGAGCAGTTTAAGGTGCCCGGGAAGAATGCGTTGGATTCAAAGATTTGGGGAGTTAGCGCCAAAGATATGTTGCTAACTCCCCAAAGAGAATGCACTTGCTTCGTAGTGAAAAAATCCTACATTCTCAGGAAGTTGTGTTGTCCCCGAAGAATATTAAGAGGAAAAATATTCCATAAACATTCAACAGTGAGGACGTTCTTACTTGACTTTAAATCTCTGTGAATTCTTTTAATAGCTAAGTGTGTCTTAAATGAAAGTGTTTCCTGAAAATAAGTGAGAAGATCAAGAATAGGAACTGATCGCTGAAGAGTGCGAACTCTGAACAACAGCAGTTCTATTCCTGGCAGGAGCTGAGTTGCGGCTGAGATGCCAACAGGTGGCAGAATAGCTCAGCTTAAAAAAAAAAAAAAGGAACTGGGATTCAAAACACTTTTAAGGCTATTTGTGGTTCATTAATGTATAGAACTGGTAGACGTACAGAATTTCAGATACCTAGTGTGTGGGCAAGAAACTATTTATGAAGTAGATTCTCCTGAGCTTATTTATGGCAACATGACTAAAGCCAGGAGATACTTACAGACATCTATAAGGGTTAGAAGATTTAAGAGTGTGTTATTATGAGCTTCTCCCACCAAGAGGTACCAAGAGTGACAAGGCTTAAATAGGCCAAAGGGAAAAGATAAAGACTGCATAGACTATGAAAATTTTCATAGAATTATAAATTAATGATATAAAATAGTGATGGTGAAGTGAGTGGGATGGGCCAGATAGGAGCAATTTATTTAGCTTTGATTTGGTCGTTGCAACTTGATGGCTGCCAGTACCCAGAATAATTCAGTTACCTTCACTGAGCCTTTTTTTTCAATTTGTAGAATAATAATTTCTACTTTACAGAGTTGTTGGGATAACTAAATGAAATAATGTATGTGCTAGCCTCCCCCTCTCCCTCCAAATATAAGTAATTCTCTTTCACTCACTGGCTCTTGTACCAGAGCACACCCAGAAAACACAAATGTACATGGTGATTGCCATACTTGACATTTACATGCGACATTCTTTATAATGCCTGCACCTACCTTCTGCCCTGCCCACCAATAAATACATGTATATTTCATTTTGCTTAAGTTTAAAGTGACAATATCATAAAATAAACTAAGATTCTTCATAGGCATCAGTGTATAGAAAGCTTGCTGACCTGGGAGTAAACAACTCTGAACTATTCTACCAATCGTACACAAATCACTGACACTTTCAGAGCCTCAATCCTTGTCTATAAAATAAATGGTTGAGATGGAAGATGTTCAAGTTCTTTCCTGTTAGAACATCACAATCTTCTTTAAGACAAGTATTATTACTTCCAATTTTGATGAGGAAGTGAGAGCTCAGACCCTAACATGACCCCAATGATCTCTTCCGTCTGGTGTCGGTGCCTTTGTATAATCCCTTCCCCTTGAGTGCAAGTAGGACCTGTGACTTACTTCTAACCAATAGACTATAATAAAAGTGAAGAGATGTCACCACTCCTGTGGTTACATTATGTTATATGGCTGTAGCTTAGCACACTGGAGCTAAAGGCTCTCCTGCTTCTCTTGAGGAAGCAAACAGCCATATGCATTGCCTATGGAGAGGGCCACATAGCAGAGAACCAGTGGTAGCCTCTAGAATTTGTGGGTGGCCTCTAGCTGACAACCAACAATGGGGTCCTCAAACCTACAACTCAAGGAAATAAATTTTGCCAACACCCTGAATGAGCTTGGAAGCAGATTCTTCACCAGTCAAGCCTCTAGATGAAAATGCAGCCTGGGGCCTGCCGAGTGGCTCAGTTGGCTAAGAGCGTGAGCTCTGAGCAACAAGGTCGCTGATTTGATTCCCACATGGGCCAGTGAGCTGCGCCCAAGCTGAGCTGCTGCTGAGCTGCCTACAGGTGGCAGGATGGCTCAGCTGGTGAGAGCACGTGTTCCTAACAACAAGGTTGCGGGTCTGGCTCCCACACGGGATGGTGGGCTATGCCCACCTGCAACTAAGATTGAACACGACACCTTGAGCCGAGCTGCCCTGAGCCGCCGATGGCGGCCGGATGGCGACTGGACTCGGAGCTTAGCTAGCTGCACCCTCCACAACTAAGATTGAAGGACAACAACTTGGCTGTTTCCCTTCCCCAATTCCCCAGTAAAATCTTAAAAAAAGAAAAAGAAAAAGAAAATGCAGCCTGTCCAACATATTGATGCAGACCTGTAAGACCCTCAGCAGAGGACCCAGCTAAGTTGTGTCTAGACCCCTGACCCACGGAAAATGTTAGATAATACAAATGTGTTATGCTAAGTTTGTGGTAATTTGATATGCAGCAATAGAAAACTAATAGAAAATATAAAAAGGTCCTACAAAATCATTCAAAGATTAGTGAATATCAGTGGCTCATTTTTTTGCCTACCAATGTATTTACTGTAGGGATGATTTAAGTTGAAGATTTCATTTTAGTTCTTTCAATCAATATTCAAAATTAAGAAACTCATTGAAAGATTTTTTCTTCTTTTTAAATTTTTATTTTTTATTTATTTTTTATTTTTATTAGTTTCAGGTGTACAAAACAATGTAATAGTTAGACATTTCACCCCTCAGATTTTTGGTTTTTTACTTTATACTTTTTTTTAATGGTCACAATGAACATTTATTACTTTTTAAACAGTAAAAAAGTTATTTAAAAATATGAAGCTCATTATAAAGGAGTAAATCACATGAAAAGATATATAGCTGAAAGGAAGGCTAAAACATTATAAGATGTAATAGAAGACAAGTTTTAAATAGGAACACATCTTCACAAATTTTGTGTAATATGCCCTGGTTCCTTTTATTGAGGAATGGTATTTAGAAACCAAGATCTGGGCGCTGAGTGTGGTCATTGCTACTGAGGTGTCATTGTGTTCAGGCCCTCTGAGCTAATATATCTACATCTATCTATATCTATACACACACACACACACACACACACACACACACACACACATGCTGGGGGTGCCAAAAAATGTATACAAGTGGACGCTTTGGTCAATGTTGCTCAATCAGTAGTTCACCGTAATCAGAAGTGTCTGGATGCTGATGGTAACCACTTGGAGCACCTCTTGTAACTGCAGAAGTCAAATGTGACTTGTGTTGTTGTTATCGGTATATACTGAGTATTAAAATTTTAATACAGTTTTTTCCTTTCTTAAAATGTGTATACTTTTTTTTGGAACCCTCTGTGTGTGTGTGTGTGTGTGTGTGTATATGCACACACACACACACACATGTAATTGCACAGTGGAAATTTCACAAACTTAATTGTCTGAACTTCATATATAGTTATGTCTGTATCTAGCCATCTGTATTTATATTAGCTAAAGATGAGTTAACAGTATAACTCTTTTATGTGGACGCTCTGATGGCTTTTAGGAGGAATTGAACCTCTTAATTAGCAATGTTTCTGGGGTTTTTTCTTTAATTTTTGAATAAAGCGATATTCTATCTGTAATGGGAAACATCCTATATCCTTAACCTCCTCAATTCTATGGCAAATCAGCAACAGTAATCAGGCAGAGGACAGAATGGTTTATACTTACAGAGAATGCCAGAACTGAAAATCACATGATATATACTTAATGAAACAAAAAGTTTAGGTTACATCCAATAAGAAAAATATTGTACTTCTATATGAATTGTTACCAAAAAATTGCAAATGTCACCAAATTATTTATTAATAATTCTCTGTGACCCCAAACTCCTCAGTTTTAATACTTATCATTGCACTAGTTGTAGCCCTATCTTTAGCACTAACAATTCCTAACGCTAACAAAACCCAACCTTAGCACTAACAATATGATTTCCAACTGATTGATTTCTTTGGAAGAAGCACTGTACCCTAGGAACTGAGGCCAGAGTAAAATAAGGAAGAGCTCAAGTATCAGGCAAAAAGTCATGTCGGAAAGGAGGAATGAACTTGTGGGACCCCATGTGGAGGCTTAAGGAAGAAGTTGAACTTGAAGGCTTAAGAAGTGGTCAGGGGTCCAGGAAAGTATGTGGTCCTTAGACTCCAGTTCCAATTTGTACTGTTAGACTTATCATTGGAGTTTTGGGCAAAAATCTGCTTAAAGCTTTCCTTAAGGTTAAATTTGTGCGTATGGCAGCCAAATAGTTTCCATAATAGGGAGATAAATTAGCCTCTTCCTCCAAGGTAACTAGAGTCATTTGGGAATACCTTTCCATGGAGAGGTTTAATTTACAGACTATAAATCAACTGCAGGAACATAACGTTGATGCTTCCTCTTCCTCATTCCCCATGGGAAAGCAAAAGACATGCTTTGTGTAAGATGGAATGATATACAGACAGACAGACAGAAAGGAAAAGTAACTATCAAATGGGTTCCAACTGAAATGGTTGAGATTAAAATTATCTTAATAGAACTTCATTATAATTCCCCTTCATGAAAAAAATGCAGCTTTCTGATAATATGTAGTTGGAAAGAGAAATATATTTGGCCACCTTGACATCTGCAAAAACACCCTGTCCTGTTAATTCCCAAATAGCTTGTTTACAAAGAAATGTACCCATAGTAGACAAGTGTGGAATGGTTATGTGAAACTGCAAGAATGTGCTAAAAACAGTTCTTAAGCCAGGAACTCATTTAAGTGTAAAAAAAAAAAAAAAGGGCAAAAGAGAATAGAATGTTCTTTGTTGTATACCTCTTAACTTACCTGTATAGATACTTGTGTGACTGATGGGATATAGT